GATATCTTTGAGCTAAATGTGAAAAATGTTCGTTCCTCCACTTGTTGATTAATAGTCCTTGAAAAAATGTATTTCCACATACGTAGCCCAAAGAGAAATGTCAGCAGTTAGACGTGCTAATCAGAATAAGGCATTGTGTTTTAGTAAAGGTTAATTAAGACCCATCAAATTTTTTCCCTTAAAACATAAAAGTAAAATAATGTAATTAGCTATTTTTTTTCTCTCTTTCCCCAGAGGGCACATGTAAATGTTCTGCCTAAATGAAGCTATTTATTTAAATCCATCCAGATTCTTTTGAAGTTTCATACATCTTTCTTTTGCTATATCAGCTTATAGCTACAATAATTTAATAAGTTTTTCCTAGGGTGAAATTGGATGCCCTTTATCGATCTTACACCAAGGGGGCATTCAATTACTTAATCTAAAGTGGTATTTCTGGGTCTCTCAATTACCATTTTGTTATAAATGGCTTGCTAATGATGCTTGGGGTGCATAGGTTAATAGGGGCCATGCAAGCAAGGGCTGGGTAATTGAACACTTTCTATTTTGGGACCAGCTATCTGATCTCTCACAGTGGTACTGGGTTCCCACAGTTATGCTCTGCGTTTAGGGCTCAGAATTGAGCCCGGGCTGGGAAGCAGTCTAACTCAAGTGTATACCTGAGTGCTTTGGTTTAACGCATGAATGGAAGTGCCAAGGGTCCTGTCTAATCTGAGTCGACTGGCACCAAAATGTGGACATTCCAGACAAGTGAAATGCGAGGGGCATTCATTACTTATTTTTGAAGGAAGAACAACTTGAGTGTTAGGTTTCCGAATGACTGTTCTTGGGATAATTTGTGGCATATGAAAAAGGCCAATTAAGAACATTAGAGAAGTCCATTTGCCTTTCAATACAATCACATTAGTTTGATTTTTCTTTGCTCAGTTATGTTATTTCATCGGTATACATGTCATAAAGATCCTTTTGAAAGAACATAAGAGAATGTGTAGTGTGGCTCCCTTTTTGCACCTGGGCAGATCCCAACCCTGACGGGCCTTCTAGACCCTACAGAACCTGGTCCCTCCTCCTCTTCCCTCTTCCATCAGGTTCCTACCCCATCCCACCCCGCCAGCCCCCCAGTGCCACGCTCCCAGGGTCTGTGCCCACAGCAGCCTCACAGCCTGTGACACCTCCCCCCCCACCCCAGCCTCTCTCCACGTGGCCTTCACTTCCCCTGGTCTCCAGCGACTGGCTGCCTTCTAGTTGTTAATGTCCCCTCTGAAATGAGGTCTGCCCTGTTCTCCCAGTTTCCCCTTCCTCTAAGGCAGCAGTTCTTACCAGGGGTGACTGATTGTGCCCCTGGGGGACATTTACCATGTCCGGAGACACTTTTGGTTGTCACATCTCAGGGGAGAGGTGCTACTGGCATCTAGACGTGGAGGCCGGGGATCTGCTAAACGTCCTACAGTGCACGGAACAGCCCCTGACAGCTAAGGATGCGCCAGCCCCAGCACCGCGTTGCCGCGTGGGAAGCCCTGTTCTGACGGTTTTACTGTTTTCTCCCTTTTCCTTTTCTTCACGGTCTTTATGAGTATCTGAGATTATCTTATCATTTGGGACTTCTCTGTGGCCTTTTGCCCTGCATCCCCCACCCCTGGTGCAACAGAAGCTCCAGTGAGGAGAGGCTCCCCTCTCTCGGTCACCCGTGCACCAGCCCTGCCGGTCAGGGAAGGGCTTGTCTGGAGCGGTGATGCGCTGGCCCTCGGGTACCCATAAGCTGTTCACCTGGTCACAAGGTGGTTCTTTTTGCCCAACTTTACCAAGGTGTATTTTACATACCATAGTGGCTCTATGTTTTGATACAACTTGTAAATGTGAGATAGTTTTACATTTTTTCTTAAAGAAGCACCCCCCAGGGGTGCTTTCCAGCACCAACAAATTCTCCAAATTTCCAGGCACCAACTGACTCTCCTGCCACTCAATTCAAGTCTGACACTACCAGAGTTAGCATCAGACCTCACAGGCTTGAGGGCTCAGTCCCCAAAGACTCCTTCACATCAGATGCCAGTCACACGTATCAGATCCCAGGTTACCTGCACCCTGTCCAAGTTGGCTCCAAAGGCAGGGCTTTCCCACCACCTCCTCCTTAGGTTCGATTATTAACTAGAACGGCTCACGGAAGTCAGGAAAGTGTTTTACCTACATGCCCTCCCTGCACGCTGCCCTCCCAGCACCTCCATGTGTCCACCAACCCGGAAGCTCCCAGACCCTGTCCTCAGGGGGCTGATTACGCCAGTGACCACTGGCGACTGACTTAACCTCCAGCCCCTCTCCCCTACCTGGAGTTGAGGAAGGCACTGAAAGTTTCAAGATTCTAATCAAGGTTTGGTCTTTCTAGTGACCAGCCCCCCTCTTGAAGCTATCTGGGCGCCACCACCAGTCCCCTCCTTAGCATAAACTCAGGTGTAGTTGAAAGGGGCTTGTTGTAAATAACAAAGATCCTCTCACCCCATCACTGAAGAAATTCTAAGGATCTTAGAAGCTGTGTGCTAGTAACTGAGGATGAAGACCAAATAGACATGTATACATTTTTTTACATCACACCCCATGTTGTATTGGCTTCAGCCCCTCTTCCGCAACCGGGACATGCCCGGCACACAGTCAGCCTTCAAAAAGTATTGTTGAACAAACGAAGGAATGAGTGAATGGTAGGAGACGAGAAAACACTGTCTCTGGTCTGGCGGGAGGAGCAGCTGCCCAGCAGACAGGGGCTGTGGCCGACCCTGTAGGAAGCCCCGTCTTCATCTCTTCTCTTTTGGGACTGTCAGCTCTGCGACTCTCCAGGCTTATTTATTTACTTTGCTTCAAGTAAGATAACTTTGCTCTTATTTAGGAATGTTTTGCACATTCTGTTGTCTCCGGATTATGTACATTCTTGTCTTGGAGCTTCAGGGTCCATGTTTTGTTTTGCTTTTTTTAAAGAATCTAATTAGACCTTCTGCAGCAGAAAGACACACGGGTGCGAACTCCCTCCCCGCTGAGCCGCTGGTTGGAGTCTCATTTTTAACCCTGGCTTGGTCTTGCCTTTGACATGCGAAAAATGTTTTCTTGGCCTTAGTGATGGAGTTTCCAAGTAGGGGATCTTGCCCTTTTGTTTCTTTGGTTTGTTTATACCAAGGGATGGGGCAGGGGTGGTTGAGCAAGCTTGAAGGGGAGGTTTGAGCCTTGAGTGTCCCTGCAGCTGCCCTCAGGGAGGTGGGGGCAGGGCCTGGGATGTGTGGCCTGGATTCCCAGAGCCCTCCCCTCCACACCCCCTTCTCTGCTCATGTCCCAGCTCCCCTAGGGCCTCTACTGGACTCATATCTCAGCGTGCACTGACCGGCTTTTCCCAATCTGATTCCTTGAGACCTTAGCGAGATTCCTTGGCCAATTATGTTTTGCCAATTTTGTGTATTATATTCCTGTTTTGTGGATTGACAGGGCTTTATTAGCATTTTATAATCCCTGAAAAGCCCCTCTGTAAAGAATTCTGTGTATTTTGTGCATCCCACCTTTTCTTCAAATAATTGAAGCATGGAGCACTTATAACAACAAGCCAAACATTTTGTGGGAAACATTGCTTGGCTGTTTATTGGCCACCATATTTTGAGAAAACATAGGCTTTTCAGTCCAAAGAAAGTGAACATTTCTTCTGGTGAGTTCTGATTGTTCAACCCTTCAGCCAATACATGGAGGCCCTAATGTAGGGTTAGTTAATATCACCTCTCTGAGGACGGCAAGGATTGTTTGAGGGGTGTGTATGAAGAGTTGGAGGTGAGTCTACTGCATCTGGGTAATTCTAAATCACTGAGGAATAATAATGTGGTATAGGCTCTCCTATGCTTGATCCCCTTTCAAATATTCTTGATATTCACTGACCAATTAAAAATCATAATAGTAATAGTAATAGTCATTGATGATGCTATTATTATCAATGTTATCTACCTTTTATGGGATGCTAAGTATGTGTCAGGCATTATGCAAGCTCTTTCCATGTATTAATGAATTTAGTACTTCTTACAGACTTAGTAGGGAGGTACTCTTATTATCCTAATTTTACTGGTGAGGAAACCAAGGCCCAGAGAGGTTATGTGGCTTGCTCAAGGTCACACAGCCAGTTAATGGTGGTCTACCACTGCCAGAAACTAAGTAGTTCTCCTTTTTTGCTCATCCGAGGCTCTTTTTATGACATCTACAAAGAAGTGTCATTTGGACGACAATACATTTTATAACTACAGGATTCTATTAATGGATTTTTAAGAATCGTATCTTCCCCAGAATGATGAAAGTGAAAAATTATTTTGGGGTTTGAAGTGCTACGTTACTCAGAGGAATACCATACCTTGGATTTAATTGCTTAATAATGTAAAGTCAAATGGTTTTTTTATATGATACACTCTACTGAAGGAGAGAAGCATTCATTATTTCTGAATTTTCATTAACTTTTGCTTCCTAATCCGATACTAAAGGTTAGCTCTAGGTAAGAGACCACTGATGCTACTGGGAGGCAAAAAAACATATTTTCTCTGCCTGCTGCAGTCCTAGCCTTCCTCCTTAGTATTCTTTAGATTTTGCATTGACTGAAAAGCACTGATATTTCAATTCATTCCTCAAATTCATAGTCATTGACTGTGTGAATCTGAGAATGATTGCGAAATCCTGGGATTCGGGGATCTGATAACTTAGATATATCAAGGCAGGGGTGTTAGAGGATGTGTGGATTGCCGTGGAGCTGGTGGTGCTGGTGTTTTTGGGGCCACATTTGGTGGTGAAGATTGAGCCCCAAAGCCAAGCACAAGGACCTGAAGCCTCTCCCTTTATCCTGTATGATTTCCTGTGACTTGCTTGTGACCAAGCAGGCTTTGCTGAAACTTACAAGTGCAAAAGAGAAAGTGACCATCTATTTCTCCTTGGAAGATGATCCCTGAGTTATTGCTAGTACCATGTAATGTAATAAAACTTATTTTCTTTTTGTTTAGGAAATCTAACATTTTTAAGAGTTTGCTCCCCATGAAGAGGAAACATTTCAAAGGAACTCAGGATGTAAAAGTAGAGATCTTTACAAGAGTCTCCATGGATGGCATGCCAATCCATCGTCAAAGAGAAGACCATGATATCTTCTAATCTCGTGTGTGTTTCCATGTTCTCCGGCGATAATTCTTCCACTTATCTTTGTGCCATGGGAAAAACCTGAAGTGCATGAGGAATTGCTCCTGAACTTGTGAGCTTCTCTGTGGTTGCAGTGGCGCTTCTAGAACATGACAATTGGAGATCACTTCCTTTTGTTGTCTGTCAGAGCTGAAGCAAAGAATGTCTTTCCTCATTCTCTAGTGCTTTGGTGTCTGCTTATTCTTACGTTTGTTTCTGTAATTTGTGCCTTCCGACCATCTTACGTAATCACAAGACATCCTTAACGTTTTCCAGCACGGCTTGCAGGCATCCGGACTCCTGGGGGGCTCACCCTCATCTCAGTAAGCCAGCAGTCCCGGGCACTACCATGAGACACTGCATTAATTGCTGCATACAGTTGTTACCCGAGGACGCACACAAACAGCAGGTTGGCTGCCGAGGAGGCCCCCATCACGGTCACCAGGTGTGCCCCACGTGCAGAGGAGAAAACAAAATTCTGTTTCATGTGGACAGTAAGCAGATGAACTTGCTCGCTGTTCTCGAAGTGAGGACTGAAGGGAACGAGAGCTGGGGTGGGTTTTTGCGGTTTAAGAAGGGGAAGCGATGTAGCCTCCTTTTTGGACTAATAATAATGACCTTGGTGACGGCTTCTTACATCCTTTCTGGGGCCCACCAAGAGCTTCTGATCTCATCACCTTTCCATTATGGAGGCTTGCCCAGCAACCCCAGCTTGATGGACAGCGAAAACCCAAGCGACATGAAAGAGCATCAGCACCAACCCTCTGTAAATAACATTTCATACGTGAAGGACTATCCAAGCATTAAATTAATTATCAACAGCATCACAGCCAGGATCGAGTTCACGACCAGACGGCTCCCAGACTTAGAAGACCTCAAGAAGCAGGAGTCGCATGTGAGTAGACTTGTGCTAATCTTGATTGATTGTCTGATTTTTAAAATGGCTTCCTTTTCTATCACCATCTTTGGGAACACAGATTTTTAGAAATGCTTCCTTTCTATCACCATCTTTGGGAGCACAGAATAAAGATGACTAAAAATTTCTCAGATATATCAAGGAGAATTTGACAGCCTTATGGATCAGAATGTGCAGAGACAGCGCTGTCTGCTTATGCTATGGAACACCAAGGAGGAAGTCTGCTGTCCTGGATGGCGCAGCTAAAAATGTTTAAGGGCCACCGCCTCTCATCATTGCATTCCAGAACTTCTTGCTTGAAACGTGGTCATGGTGGTTAAAGTTGCTTTTGTAGATCACCATTATTTGGGATTTAAAAGTTGGGTTCAATTTGATTTCCTGTTTCTATTCTGTCCTAATCAGTATTTTTATCTCTAGTGGCAATTTAAATATATAACTAGTAAGAAGATTCCAACTGTTTCATTTAATTAGATTGCCATGTGTGTATAAATATAGGAAAGGTAAATTATGGTCGAATGGATTTTGATTACACTTTTATCTTCATCTCCTCCCCCCATTTTTTTCTCAATTTTGGGAAAAGGAAAGCACAGTTATTGGCTGTCTACCAAGTTTTGCTTTATTTTATTTTTAAATCGTCAAATAATAGTTCACATTTGCACACTGCCGTCACCATTAGGGCATGTTCATCCTGTGGTTGGAATGTTTTTTTTGCTGATGTTTTTGCATGTCTCCTTTTCATCGCAGATGTTTTCAGTCATCCCCAGTAAGTTCCTCCCAAACAGTAAGAGCCCCTGCTGGTACGAGGAGTTCTCGGGGCGGAACACCACCGACCCCTACCTGACCAACTCCTACGTGCTCTACTCCAAGCGCTTCCGCTCCACCTTCGACGCGCTGCGCAAGGCCTTCTGGGGCCACCTGGCGCACGCGCACGGCAAGCACTTCCGCCTGCGCTGCCTGCCGCGCTTCTACATCATCGGGCAGCCCAAGTGCGGGACCACTGACCTCTACGACCGGCTGCGGCTGCACCCCGAGGTCAAGTTCTCCGCCATCAAGGAGCCGCACTGGTGGACCCGGAAGAGGTTTGGTGAGTGCTGGTCTGAGTGCTGCTGGCTGGTTCCTTTCGTTCCCTTATTTGTTCTCTCATTCCTTTCGTTCCCTCCGCACACGTAGGGCTGGGGGTCCCAGGGAAGCGGGGCTGGGGAGGTGAGAAGACACTGATATGCAGAAAGATCCGACAGGGGCTGGCGCCCGGTTCCCAACCACACAGTGAGCACTGATTGAGTGCCAGCTGTGTGCAGGGCAGGGGGACGGGAGGGCAAGGGGACGGGTGGGCAACTGGCTGCTCTTCTTGTCCTGAGAGCCCGGGCACATGACCCCAGCCATGAGCAGGCAGGTGGCAGAGCTGGAAACATGTGGCCTGGGGCCCTGGCTCCCAGGTCTGTGCTGTTCAGGCTGCAGCCCCCACACCTGGGGAGATGGAGGTGGTTCGGGCCTCAGCTTCTCTGACCTGCCCCATCTGCCCCATGGGTTCCGTATGAAAACTACAGGGAGATAAGTCTGGAGACCTGTTCTCAGCAGCCCTTGCCCCAGGGCTGACCTTGAAAAACTGCTTGTCCCTGGCTGCTCCAGCCCAGCCCCAGGCACCCTGCAGCCCTCAGGTCACTGTTTCCTTTCTCTGACCTTTTTCCTTCTGCCAGGAGACGTTTGGTCACTGGAGCTAAGGGGTGATACATGCCTGTGTCAGCCATACTCCAAGCAAGCCACCAGGGCATTTTCCACGTAAAGGGCCCAAGTTGCCTATAAGAGTTTTCCTTAAACCAACTCTTAATGTGCTTCCTGACAAATGTTTGATTTCATCCTGTTGATGTTCATCCTGGAGTGAAGGAAAGTGTAAATGTTTCTTTTGTGGTTTAGCAGTGGCCAGTGTAGGAGCCAAGGTTTCATGTCCGTGTGCATTTGCCGGATGTGTCTGAACACACTCCCCTACAGCAGGGTGGGTGTTCTCCCCCCACGGCTCATGGTGATTTCCCCTTAATGAAAACCAGCTTCCCACTGGCAGGGAGGAGGGAAGAACAGAGGTGTGCCTCTGGAAACTGGTGATTAGTGTCACCTCGAACCTCTTGTTATTTTGCTGTGGATGTTCTCGTTTCAATTTCCATGGACTTTAGTAGCTGTGGTGTTGGGCAGTGTGTCTTTGCAATGTTTGCAAGTGAAATTTTTTCATTTTTGAGGCATTGGGCGAAGTTAGGCTGTGTGGGGCTGATGCCAGAATCCATGTCTGTCTAGGGGATAATCAATTCTCCTTATAGTTTGGACAGATGGACAGGCTGTTTGATCAGGTCGGTCAGGGGAGGGAACATCAGGAGGATGCTGGTTGGGCCCTGATGAGGAACTTTGTAGGATGCTGCCTGCACCTGTGTGGCCTGCCCTTTTCCCCTTCTTCATGTTTGACGTAATGCATGCATCCTGGATGTCCTTACTGTCCAGCTATTTTAGAGTCCCACCTGGAGCACATGTTGACCAGCCCCAAACTCTCTATCCTTCCAAGCAGAGACATCAGTAGCTCTTGAGTATGTGTGCTATCCTTTAAGCTGCCACCGCCAGGCTTAGTGGTGGTGTCTTTCACTGCATGTAGCTTGGGTGGATTGAAAGAGACCGGCCAGTCCTCAGAATCCCCCATCCCCACTTGCCCCTCCTGAAGCTTACCTGGGCTGAGCCTTCTTTTGCTGCTGCAGCTGGGCCCCTTGGGTCTTTCCATCTCTCTGTGGTGACTCTCCAGGAGGCCACCAGCAGTGGCAGCTTTGTCCTCAGTGATTCCTGCTTCTTGGTTCTCACAGGAATTGTTCGCCTGAGAGATGGGCTGCGAGACCGCTACCCTGTGGAAGATTATCTGGACCTCTTCGACCTGGCTGCTCACCAGATCCATCAGGGACTGCAGGCCAGCTCTGCAAAGGAGGAGGGCAAGATGAATAAAATCATTATCGGTAAGGCTTCTGCATGGCTCTCGGGAGGGCTGGCACCCTCCCTGGGGTCCTGGCTCATGCTCTGGGCCAGGCCCAGCTTTGCTTCAGCTGCAGAACATTTGCATGGTAGCTGCAGACTTCTGCTGAGCCTCCACTTCCCCACCTGGCCATCACTCTTATCCCTATGTAAAGTGTTCATCTCACTTGTGCAATTGTTATAAAGCAGAAACGTTTAGTTGACTTTCTAATTCCCTGGAGACTCAAGGACAGCTGATGGTTTTTTTAAGAGTTGCCATTTTTAAATTTAAATGAAACAGGCATATTTGACTTCTTTTCCTGATCTACCGATCTGAGTAGGTTTGGATGGGAATCATAAATGCTAACTGATTAGTCATTGATTTACTACTTGGGGCTTTTGTAATCCTCGGCTGCTGGGACTATACAAAGGCAGCCCTGAAATGGACGCAGCCCTAACACGTTGTCTAGACTAATTGCTGTTTTAAAGCCTAGCCCTTGTCAACCTAATGCCTTTGGGCATTCAAAACGAGGTTGTTTGATTAATAATCATTTGTTTTAAATATTTACAAGCATGTTTTATAAATAAATATTCACCCTTTTTAAAAAATTTTTTTATTGTGCATATTTAATATGCATATTGTGCATATTTTTATTGTGCATGCATGTACAGCATGATGTTTTGATACAGATACACAAAGTGAAATGATTGCTGTAGTCAAGGAAATTAGCATATCCATGTCCTCCCAATTACCTTTTTTTTTGGCAGTACCTGAAATCTACTCTTTTGGCACATTTCCAGTGTAAAATACAACATTATTAACTGTAGTTCTCGTGCTGTATATTATATCTTTAGACTTACTCATCTGACATAACTCTTTTTATTGGATTCAGCTGAAGAGACATTTATCCACTTATGCCTTTTGTAAGAGAGAAATTTAATCACATATTTTGCTTAAATTGTTTACCTGAGACAGTGATCTGTTTTTTAATTTTCCTAGATCTGTTATGTTTTGATTCTCCAAATTAAATGAATCTGTTAGCTACTAAGAGGAATTATAATCAGCCCTTTGAAAGATAACTTTTTACTTACAACTCTCAAGTCCAAGGGGACAGGCTTATGTGCCTATGCCCTGATTTATTTATTCTCTTTTTTCTAAATCAAGTCACTGAGAGTCACCTCCAGTATGAGTTGGGTGTTAGCTAATCTTTTGCAAACTTGGGGTCCAAACTCCCCGAATCACAAGTCTAATGTATATTTCCCTGTGACTCCCATACTATATGCCTCTGGGAAAGTCTCATGCTCTTATGAAAGAGCTGAACATGTGCATCCTCAGGCCAGTAAATGGAGACTAAGATAATGAATAAAAAGGAAAGCCTTAGTTTAGTTTTCTAATTTTACTTATTTCTAGATTTAAAAAAGAACAAAAAATAAAATCACTATGCTGGTATTTACTTAAAGCAGAGTTTGGCGAATTTTATGGTAGCCTCTTGTTGGGACAGGCAGGGTGGAGAGGCAGGTGAGGAGCTGCCATCTAGCCTTGCCTGTGCCACCAGCCAGCTCTGTGCCATGCAACATATCGTTTTTCCTGTTTCTGGACTCAGTCTGTACCTCTGCAAAATGGGATTGTTGAATTGAACCAGGTTGGCTCCAGGCTTCTCCCAGCACTGAAATGTGATTCTACCCTACTTCAGCTCCTCTGGGTAGATCCTGGGCAGAGGCATGAGGGTCTTTCATCATCTTGGGCCCCTAGGTCAGAGAGGGCTTTTCCTTGGCAGTCTGTGCTAAAGCTAGAGTTGCACTGGAGGTTCAGGACTCATGTGACCTGAACTTGAGGGCTGACCTTGGGGCTGGGGCTTTTGATGTGTTGAAAGGCACCTGCCTCTGCTCCCAGGGCCCCCCTCGTGCTGATTGCTTCTGGAGTTGTCTGTCTCCCCTCGGGTTGTAAAATCTGAGAGGGGCGGGGCTGTGCTGTTTCCCTCATCTGTCCCAGCGCCTGGCACAATGTGGAGCACACGTTAGATGCCGAATGAATGCTTTCTGGATGCATGGATGGATGGTGCGTGGATGGAAGGAAGATGGATAGATGGACAAATGATTCTGTGGTTCTAGAACCAGTTCATTTTTGAGATTTGACAGAATTCATGCCAGTTTAGGTAGATAGTTCACTTGTCCTCTATATTCCTTTATTCATTGTGAGTAGAATTTTCTGAGGACTTCTGATTGATTTGTCTCTTGTGTATCCTGGGGTATTATCTCAAAACAATAAGAAAGAAAAAAAGTCCGGAACAGAGGTGTTCACTGGCCGTGATTCCACATCCAGCCGGACTAACAGGGCCCTGCTCACTTGCGCATTATGTGATGCTCTGGTCCCTGACCGAAGAGACTTGGGCTTTGGGCTCAGATTTCCCCGAATAAATGACTTTGAGATGTGTCCTATAGTCCTAGACAAAACGTCAGGAAATCGAGGGTAGAACTGATTGGCTTATCTTTCTGAATCTCTGAAGACTGTCCTGAAAAATAAAACAAAACAGGGAATTGGTTCAATTATCTGAGAGTCTGTGTTGTTGAAATGTCTGTGTCTCGGCCGCACCTCCGTCCTGGAACGCGTGTTGACCATTTTCATCCTTCAGTAGTGAGGGCCATGATTAAATTAGGGGCTAGGACCCCGTTCCTGTTCACCCAGGCAGCACTGAGTGAGCACCAGCTGTGTGCAGAGCAGTGGCCAGGCAGGAGACAGAGCCCGAGGCTGAGGTCCTGTGAGCCTTCTGGCAAAGCCTTCCTCTCTCTCCTTCGGTCCTAGAGCGAGCCTCATGACTGGCCATTAGGGTTTCAAGGAAAGGCAGATGCAAATTGTACCACTTTCCTAACGAGGGTCAGCTTCCCTGAGCTACCCCTTTATCCCTGATGCTTTTTGAAGGAAACTGGTACATTCTCAGTGGGCCCTTAAAATGCCACAGAGCTACGCACTGTGGGCAAAGTTGAATGTTGCAAAACTGGAGGGGCCAGATGCTAGTAAAGCTTTTATTTTTTGCCCACCTTGCAGAGAAGAGCTCGAGGGGACACTCAGTGTTGCATGGGTCGCCTGGATTTCCAGACAGAGCTTTCGGTGGTGGGGGGGAGGTCAGGGGGTGGCACTGCGGCAGGGGTGGTCATCAGTCCTCTCCTTGGAGTCCCATCTGCCAGGTGGTCGGCTGCCCGTCACGGCTGTTTAAGATGAAGGCACTGGGCCCAGACTTGGCCTCTGGTGCCCAGGCCGCGCAGTGGGAGCCCCAGTCCAGCAAGGCTCACTCGCTGTTCTGCTTCTAGGGGAGGCCAGCGCCTCCACCATGTGGGATAACAACGCCTGGACGTTCTTCTATGACAACAGCACGGATGGAGAGCCCCCGTTTCTGACCCAGGACTTCATCCACGCCTTTCAGCCAGACGCCAAACTGATCGTCATGCTCAGGGACCCCGTGGAGAGGTGAGCGGTTCTGTGTGTCGTATTGGGGTGGAAAGGAAAGGCGCTTTTGAAGAACCGCGTTTCCTTCTCATCACAAACAAGATTTTGCCTCTTTTTAAAAAAAATAAACAAACTTAACTTGCAATGTTACTGCTTTTTCTTATGTAAATATTATTCTTGGGGCAACCCTCACTGTGTTTAAACAAATTGTAGACTGCTTTCTTAGCCATCCCGACCCTGGTCTGTGGGCCTTCAGCCTCTGGCGGGCTTGTCCTGGGGACAGGGGATGCTTCCCTGGGTGCTCTCAGGGCTGGGGCAGCACCCTCAGCACCAGGGGGCAGGGATCCCCATGGGCTTCACTCCTGGATTCCCCGTCTCCCGACCAGTTGATGCCTTTATTCTTGACATGCCTGAGTGTGCGGTCTCCAGCTTTCCTGGAAAGACCAAAAGGAAGGACAGTGATGGACAGAGCTCCTTTGCCTTTTAGATCAGGGTTTCCCAGTATGGACGAGGCGAAGCTACAGGTCTGAACAGACAGCACGGGCTGGCCTGGCCAGCGCCGGGTGATGTTTGTATCATTGACGATGCCCGTGTGGATCGCAGAATCTCAGAAGGATTTAGTCCAGTGCTCCCTACAAGTTCTACCATGTCGGGGGGCGGTCGGGAGGGAGCAGTCTGCTCTGAGGTCCTCTGAGACAGGAAGTTCCCCACCCAAGATGACCGAACTGGGTCAGGACAGCTCTCTTCCTCCTGTTTTGAAACCATTCTGTCTTTTGGGAGCATCCACTTTTTGCTCCAATTTCTTATCTGTAAAGCCACACAGACCAAGTCTAACCCTTGCACAGTACGAGAGCCTGCCAGATATTTACAGACCAGGGGCCACAGTCTTTCGTGTCTTATTTTCCTTCGGGCTAACTGTGTCTTGTTACGGGTTGAATTGTGCCTCCCAGCATGCTGTGCTGAAGTCCCAATCCCCAGCGTCCATGACCGTGGCCTTATTTGGATATAGGATCTTTGCAGCTGCATTCAAGGTGAAATGAGGTCATGTCGGGTTAGGGTAGACCCTCGCTCACCCTAAGACACAGGGAGCACGTGAAGAGATTGGAGTGATGCTGTCACAAGCCAAGGAGTGCCAAGGAGTGCCAGGAATTGCTGGCAGCCACCAGAAGCTAGGAGAGGGGCCTGGGACAGAGTCTCCCTCAGAACCCCTGGAAGGAACCAGCCATGCCCACACCTGGATTTCAGGCTCGTAGCTGCCAGACTGAGAGAACAGGCTGTTGCTGTGTGCCGCCCGCGTGCGGGGATTTGTTCTAGCGGCCCCAGGAGACGCACGCACCTCTGATTGCTTCCTCAGACAGCGCCATCCTGGCCCCACACCTCTGCCAGTTGTAACAATAGGGCATGTTTGTTGTGGACATTTTGGGAAATACGTTGGAAAACTATAAAGAAAAACCATTTTCAAAAACACCTGTAATCTCCCACTCAGATAATTGCTATTGATATTTTGGTGTATTTCCTTCCAGACTTCTTTTCCATGCAGGTGTGTGTGTTTGAGTGTGTGAGTGTGTGTGAGCGTGCGTGTGAGTGTGTGTGTGAGCGTGTGTGAAGTGTGTGTGTGTGTGTATGTGCGTGCGTGTGTGTGTGAAGTGTGTGTGTGTGTGTGTGAGTGTGTGTATGTGTGTGTGAGTGTATGTGTGTGTGTGTGTGAGTGTGGGTGTGTGAGAGTGTGTGTGTGTGTGTGTGAGAACGCACAGTCTTACGTCTTGCTGCTTTCACTTAGCTTTGCTGCCCCGCAGGACATGCTTTAAAGTCGGCCCCGGCCACAATTCTGGGCTGATCCCCGCAACCCTCTTGTGGAGTCCTCTGCAAGAAGCCTGTTCCTCTGAGTGTCCGCTGGTCAGAGGAGAGCTGGCTCAGCACCAGCCTCGGCCCCCTGAGCTCGAGCATGTGGTGGCTGTCCTGGTGCCACACTGTCCAGAGGCCGGTGTGGTTTCACTCTGCTTTCTGCGTGTCTTCCGGCCTCGGGAATCCATCCGCTCTGGTTCTGAGGCAGCCACTGACCTTGCTGTCCCTTGCCATGTCCTCCTGCTCCTACATGTCCTGTATGCTTGGGAGACAGAGACTTGGCCCTTTTCCTCATGGTGGACTGGTCTCCCTTGGTCTGAGAGCAGGTGACACACACCAGCAGGGCTCCCATGATTACACAACCGCCAGCTTTGAAGGCTGCTGACGGAACTGACCCCTCCCGCCTCAGAGGTGTTTTCACAGCTGCTCCGCCTCCCTCCCCACCGACACCCAGCTGCAGTTCCCAGGGTGGCAACATTCTCCCAAGAGTGCACTCTCTGCTCACCAAACGTTTTTCTTCGCTTCTCCTTAGTCCCCCATTCTGAGCAAGGTCGCACTGAACTGCAGGGGGCCGAGAGAGAGTGAAACAGCAGCGTGTTGTAGCTCTGTGGACCAGTCTGTCGGGACTGGGTTCAGTGTGTGCCAGTCCTGTTCTGGGCCCTGGGAAGACCGGAGCTCCCGGGCTGGTTAGACAGGCGTGGCCGCCATTTGTCATGGTCCTGCAGATTCAGCAAGAGCAGAATGGGAGGGAGGGGAGTGGGTGCCTGAGTGGGGAGGTCTAGAAAGGCTTAAGCTGGAGGAGCTGATTCCAACTGGGCTTTGAAGGATGAATAAGAATTTGCTGCATGAATAAGGAAGGTGGGTCAAGGGGAAGAGGCATTCTGAGGGGAGAAAACAGTGAGTACAAAGTAAAGACCACGCGTCCTCCTGTTGGAGGTAGAGCCAGCTTTCCCAAGTGTGCCTCTTTCTTCCTGGGGTTCTGGTTCTACCTCTGAGGGACCAGCACCATAAAGGTGAGCCTTTGAACTGGGAGGACAGCAGTGCTGTCCAGGTGCAGACAGCTCCGCCAGAACAAGACCTGCCTACTGCATCTCTCAGACCCCGCCGGAGTCACCGTCTGGACGGAGGCTCCCGGGCCAGAACATGGTCTTCCCAAGAGGACACCATGTTTCCTTCTTTTATTTTTTTAAGAACAAATGCTCTATACTAGGAACCGAAAGTGAAGGTTTCTTGCCTCCTTGGTCCTCAATCTAGCAGAAATAGTCCGTCAGTTCAGCTGTTCAGGAGCCCCTACTGTGTGCCGAGCCCTGTGCTGGGTGCTGAGCATATGTGCAGCTGTGAACGATGGCAGTGACAGGTGCCTACTCTCTGGGAGTGGCACTTTATCAGAGAAGCAGGACTTTGGCTTTGTCCTGATAAATGTCCTGGTTCTGGGGAGGAGAAGGGCAGGATGCGGTGGCAGCAGCATGCGTCGGGGCACTAACCCAGTCCTTGCATTGCCTGCTGCATTAGCTACTGCTGACAAGTTACCCCAAAACTTAGCAGCTTAAAACAGTTTCCAGAGGTCTTCTACTTCAGGTCTCTCATAGGCTGCAGTCTAGGTGCCAGCCAGGGCTGGGGTCTCATCCAAAGGCTTGAGTGGGGAGGGATCTGCCTCCAAGCCCACACGGTTATGGGCTCAAGAGCTGTTGGCATGAGGGCCTCAGGTCTTGCTGGCTTTTGGTGAGAGGCTGCCCTCAATACCTTGCCATGAGGTCTGTCCAGCATGGCTGCTGGCTTCATCCAGGCCGGCAACGGGGAGAATCTCCTAGCAGACCGGAAGCCACGCTCTTTTGTAACCTAGTCACAGGCATGACATCCTATCACCATTGCCATATTCTGTTAGAAGCACGTCACTAGGTCTAACCACACTTGAGTGGAAGAGACTACAGGGTGTGAATACCAAGAATTGGGGATCCTTACAGGCCACCCTCATTCTCCACCTGGACACTGGGGCTGCCAGCCAGAGAACAGTAGTTTCCAGCTTGATGCCAGCCCCTGTGCAGAGGGAGTGTGTATTTACGTGCACATTTTGTGTGTGGGTTACTGACAGCAGTAGCTGTTTCATCACTTAAAACATTTATAAAAATATGTAACAATAGGAATTCCTTCTTTTCTGAAACCGTCGACTCATGGCCTGTTTGAAATGACTGGCTCATTACCCATCCCAGCCAGAAAGGGGATAAATGTTGCTGTGTGTTTAGGTCACTCTTGAAGAAGCAAACACTACGAGCCCAAGTTCCGTTGGTCTGGGTCCTGGGCCATCGGCTCGCGTGATGGTTCCGTGACCTCGCATGTCTGCAAGTGGGAGATCCCTGGGGTTGCGCACTGCCAGGTGGATTGGACCAAATTGTTCTTTTCCTTCTACAAATTGGCTTGATGGGGAAAAAGACCCACTTTGACTTCTAGTGTTAGGTTCACATTTACCCTTTATTTCTATAATTGATCAAAGGTAAAAGGTTTGAAAATGTTGGAATTGTAGTTAAAGTCAAATCACTTTTAAGTTTCCAGAGAAGGATATAAACAGTTAAGTCCATTTTTTTCCGGAGGAAAACAGAAATAATGGAAAGAAGTGGATGGAACGGTTCGTATGGTGGGAGAGGCTAGCCAAGAATTCATGTTCCAAGTTTCTCTCTGTAGAAAAGCACAACAATTTAAGAGTAAATTGATGCGTTCCTATGCTAAATTGGCCTAGTTAATTAAAAAAAAAGCCACCACTTAGAAGCAGAATTTTTCTTTATTTAATCCCATTCGTAAGCGGTAAAGACTATTGAAACGCATCTCACATCAGCCTCTGCCTCTTCGCCGGGATAGCTGGTGGAGTTGGCCTCTTAGTCCCGAGGCCCTTACAGCCCCCATTCAATGCGAGACATGCTTCGCGCCCCTCCAACCTGGTCGCATTCCTCTTTTATTCCAGGGACATTTGGAGTGGGGTCACGCACCATCTGTTAAGGATTTTACAGCGTCTATATTTTGGTTTTAATTCTGCGTGGAGTCTTAATGCAGTGCCCAGAAACGACCACCGCAGGAATGGTCGGTTTTCACACTTATGATGGTGAGTCCAGGGGGAGGACCCTCAGCTCAGTGAAGAATTAGAACTTGATTTTGACCGGAACCCCTCGAGCCTTGGAACCTGG